TTTTCTGCACAGCAGATAGAACCGTCTCTATTTCGTATTACAACGTTCAGAGGTTAGATGTATTATTCAAAATACAGAATATCGTAAATAACAGTGTGAGCATGTATATAAACAATTAGTTTAACAATTAGAAAAAATGTTGAACACAAATTTGAACGAAGATATTACAAAATTTCGTCGGGAATGGTTCCAGCCAGCAAAAGGGGGCATCGATTGTGGCAGTTCGTTTTCAAGTCGGTGAGGTGACGAGTGCTCTCGAAAAGGGGATGGTCGCGAGTAACGACAAAATAACGAATTGCCACTCGAAAGCGGAAGCGAGCCTCGACGGGGCGCCATTTGTGTTTACAGCGGCGGTCCTTCGAGTTTAACGAAGCATGATAGACTCTTCGGGGATGAACGACGGTCCGCGAGGCGTCGAGACACCCGGATTGTGGTCGCCGATGTCGAAAAGAAAACGGGCCAATGGCACGAGGGGAGGGGAAGGTCGAAACGAAAATTTAGTCATTGTGAAGAGGCTCGCGTTGCCGCGTGGGCGCGTCGGAACCGTAGCGGAAGTCCTCGAGATCTCCGGAGTGCACCTTCTTGATTCCGGTCGCGGTCCAGTCTGCGGCCGAAACGTGACCGTTTGGCCGTGTAACAGGATTAGAGGGGGATAGATTAAATTCGAGATATTTGGCTCGACCGTTTCTACCCCTCTCTTTCTCCCTTTCGGTTTCTTGCGTCCTCTGCGACCGCAACAGTAGGATTTACGCCAATATTTTTGGTATTTAGCCTTTGTTGCCGGACAGCGGCCATTGTCGCGCGAAACGATGGGCGTGGAGTTGCAGCTTGAAAGGGAACCGGCCACCTTCTTTCCTTTCTACGTCTCTTTTCGGCGACAAAAGGACCCCGTGGCCCCGATACTTAATTCGCCGCGTTCGACTGACTCTCGAATTTGCCACGCTTCTGTCATCCCTTTTCTCCGCTAACCGTCGACTAATTGGTCGACGTTCATTTTTACAGTGAATGACGGTTTCACAATGATTCGATAAAACGATGACACCGTGTACACTAAGAGACCAGGGTCAATAGTAACACGTGTTAAATAGTTTAGGATCTATCGTAACGATTATCGTAAATATTGAACATACGATACAATACTATAATTGAAGTACATATATCCATGTATCAACAATACAATTAAGAACCCTACGAAAAATTGTTAGGAACATCCACCGCGAGCTTCGTCGAAATGTTTCGAATATAAAATATTAAATTCGTTAGAAGGAAGGTATGCTTCGATCTAGGATCGAAGAGACTGCAAAGAGGGGTGGAAAAAATGGACGATAGTTCTCTAGATATAGCACGTCGATCGGCGATTCTGAATACAAGATCAAAGCCGCGGTGCGATGATGGTTAACGTCCAAATGTCGCCAACGACAGCGAAGTTTCGGATGAATATTTCAGGATAACCGCCGTCGATGGGATCCTGTTGATGCTGCAATCCCCCCATGTTGTTCCCGCAAAGAGCATTTGTGTAATCTATCAGTACGTCCGGGACTTTTAGGGATGAAACCCTTTTGTCGCTTGCGCGAGGTGCTTAAGCGGTTGGTTAAGTTGGAAATGGGGTGCTGACGACGTGCACACGCAAATCACACTGAAGGGGGTTTCGATCTAGCCGACAAAGAAAAAGAAAATTGTTATTAGGCACCATTGTGTACTGGTAGTTATTAATCGTTAACGTTAAGAAAACTTTTCCTGAAGAATTTCGAGGTTTGAGATTCACGGGAAACTGTCTGGTTAAAAACGAAGCTAGACATGTACGATTAAACGATCGTTTTGGTACGAGCAACAATCCAATATCGCTTTCACGTATGACGTTGCAGTTCTCAGATCGAACGAAAGCCATCGGGACCCACGAAACTGTTGTTCCTGCAGAGTTAGGATGCCAGAGCATCGGTCTCTGGCCAGCAAAGAGAGCTCCACTGTGGCTCGTATTTAGAGAACCTACGAAAACACTCGAGCTGTTGCGACAGCCGTCCACAACCGTGTCTATGTTTCAGATTGTTCCAGCCATTGTATCCTCCCGGCGGTCCGTTAATAATAACGTGTATTTATCTCGAGAGTGTCATGATTCTTTCGAACCTCTCCATTCATCGGGTCCGGCGAATCTCCTCTTGAGAATCGGAACGTGTCATGCCCGGAAAACTCGACTATGTAAATTACTGCGCGTTGTAAATCAAATGTTACACTATCGAATCTATTTTCTGTGTTAAAGTAACTCGAAAGACTGGAAATCTCGATTCTAAACATGAAATACGAAGACTACCCCTCGATATTACCAAGTCCTTTAAAACAAAGGGTTTCAGATACTTTTCTTTAAAATAGACACCGTATTGGTACAAATCTAAGAATTTATGGTGATTTTTACAATGTATTGGATTTTTGTGTTTCTTTCGTTGAGACTTGAAATTTAAACAAAAAATGAATTCGATCCGACAACTTTGAAATTTTAAAATTTAAAGTCATTTTTTTCAAAAATGGCTGGCCATAAACGTCTAGTGTTTTACAGATTACATGTTTTACAGATGGACATCAGCCCCTACAACTCTGCCTTTGGTTCAAATCCCAGGTTGACAGGTCGTGACCTTCCCTTGTAAGATGGAATGTTTTATTTCAACTATTTCAAGATTAAAATGTAATTTATCTTGTGGGTTCGAATAAAATTTGCCAAAAATAGAAAACTGTCCTACACGAAATAAAACGAAAGAGCTGCGTCACCGTGAACGACTCGTGCGGGAAACAATAATAAAAAGCAACGGAACCGAGAAAAGACCAATGAGGGTCGATAAGGAGCATGATCGGTGTATGGTAGATATCTTGATATCGCGATCGAAGGACATTGATATTATCGAGGCAGCTGTCGCGTGCCGTGGCGGTCCTCAATAGCGGCGGTCGTCTCCTGGTCGAAGTCGACAACAAAGGGGATCCCCTGTTTAGTTAATCGTTCTCCATAATGGAAACTGAAAGGGGTCCTACTACGAGTCGCGTTGTAACGTTAAATATGTACATGCGAGCGGACATATCGCAGGGTGCAAGCAAACCGTGCATAGTGTTCTTTGTAATAGAACGCCGACCGCGGATCACGAGATTAAAACTGTAGAAAGTTTCGTGATTAAACGGGTGATGAGTTTAGTCAAATGGAAGAAAGGTTGCCCGACCAAACAGTTGGTTTGCGATACGTTGGGTTTCTAATCGTCCTTACCGACTAAACTTGTCTACGAATTGAATGGAGAGAAATCGAAACGACGCAATTAATATATGAAACTTTAGTGACAGCGAACGTTTCGATGGAAATATGGAATACGACCGTGCATCTGCGTGCCAAGTACGGTTTGGCAGCTGTAAAAATTAACCAACGATACAAAGAATCCGAGGGAAACGGTTGTGTGGACGTTTGTCGTGCTCGCGCTCTTCGGGTTGGTGTTTCGTATAAAAGTGCGGGGACAGGTAGACTTTGCGCGAAAGCGGATTGGATTAGGATTTGGCAGAAAGGGCGGTGGAGTAGGTCGAACCCAATTTGCATGCCATAAACCACGTCGGTTCGTGAGATTGGATTTTAAAAGAGTAACGAAGAACCTGCTGAGGCCAACGTGTACAACTTTTCCTTCCACGGTCGACTCTTACGCGGTATAGTCCATTTTGTTTACATTTTCTACCCTAAAAGGTGCTTCTTATCAAAGGCAGACAAAATTCTTCTCTAGGCTAAATAAGAACGTTTCTTCGAAATTTTTAGACGAAAAAATTTAGTAATTTTCAAGAATGATCCATAAAAAAGTCCTTTTACGACACTGATTCTGATTCTGATTCTGTTCAATTAGAAAATAGTCAACGTTGTTGTTCGAACCGGTCGTTTCTGAAAATACTATGGAGCATTCTCGGGGGACAGTGATAAGGAGACAAATTCGTGGACAGATGTACGAACATGTGTTTCGACGTGGCGCTAAATAGGTGGTAACACTCGACGGGTTTATTCGTTCTGTCACCAGACCCGACGTGGCATGAAACTGCACACTTATTTCTCGTATTACACCCACGTACTATTGGGTAATCATCGTATAATAGCCGAATAATAATTTCTGCGCGGAGGGTCGCCGCGACCAGTAGTAGGATAAATAAGAAAGGAGCCCGTAGGCTAGGGGACCAATATGGGCGCCTTAAACGCGGAACAGCACCCCCTTGCTACACCAGAGGCTATCTAACCCCACAGCGATGTTTATTATTCACTTAGGATGCTCACCGGTCTATTTGTTCCCGGCTGAGCTCGAGAAGATCGACTTACCCCTTCAAAAGGGCGACAAACCAACGAGCAAGTGTCGAAAATATCGTATATCGCCTTCGTTCGAACGATTCTGAATTTCGTTTCCAACTAAACTCCATTTTGCGTAAGATCATGCAAATCTGCCTTGTAAGAAGAAATATCTTTTTTATTTACGAATGGAAGTTCATCGACAATGAATAGTAGAACAAAACTGTAAACACGACGCATTTATCCCTCGTTGTTCGTAATTATCGATAAAACTAATTAATTCTCGAATACATTTGCCTGGCTTCCATTCATTAACAACGGTTATTAAAGGGTCGAAAGCACAGCCAAAAGCAAATAACGTTAATTTCCAATGATTTCGTCGAAAACAAGCTGTTCCGACCACCCTGTACACGAATAGTTATCGAATCGACGGAACGCAACAAAAATGACACGTTGTAAACTTCGTGTAATTAGCGTCGCAACAGTCACGTTCAGATGGTTTATATAAATATACATAACGCCGTTATTTTTTATTTTTAAACAAATATTCAGAGGACACATTTCGTCGCTGCTTCGCGATTAATTAACGTGAAATCATGAGTCAGGGATACGTCCGTGGACGCGACTGAAACAATTCCGTGCAACAGTTCGATTATGCCATTTACCAGACCGAAGAAAACCTGCAATTAACGAGCCAGCAGGATTCTACGAAATGGAATATAATCGCGAGCCCTGTCCCTGGAGGATAGTGGATGATTGCGGGGGCGCGTTCACTATGGGCACCATTTGCGGATCACTCTTTCAGGTGAGTCGTCTATAGGCGTACAAAATGACAAAACTAGTCAACAGCGACGAGTATACACTTTTGGAAAGCCAGGGATGATAAAAAGGATTGTAATTCGCAGAATTTGTAATATTTTTACTTGTCAAAAATAGTATGAGTGCTCAAAATATAAATCAATATACAGGGTGTTTGGTCACCCCTAGGAAAAATTGTAATGGGAGATTCAACGGGCCAAAATAGGACGAAAATCAAGAATACCAAGAGATGCCAAGTAAAGAACGTTTAAATGATGTTAATTGAATGATTAGAAACATTGATCAAAGATGAATGAACAAACGATTATAAGAGTTATACAGGGTGTAAAACCATTCAATATTTATAGGGTATATACATTGTACTGAGTAAAAAAGCTTTAGTAAACATAGATCGAAAGGTCAACCGTTTCTGAGATATAAACATTTTTGTTTGCTATTATCATAATTGACTTGCTACTGAATTTACGATGTTTACGGAAGATTTTCCACGTGTCCACCTTCCATTTCTACACACGCTTGGGATCTTCTTTTTACAGAGTCGCGAACTCTCTCGAAAATTTCACATTTCTGTCGAATTGTTTGACAAGAATGGTGGATTCGGTTACGTAATTCTTCTAAGTCATTTATCGGAGAGGAAGTAGGCTTTTTAAATATCGCCATAAGAAGGAGTCCAAAGGGTTTAAATCGGGGGATCGAGGAGGCCATGCAACTGGTCCACCACGTATAAATGGTCTCTCATATTACGCACAAAATGAGGTGGCACCCCATCATGCATGTACCACATCGATAATCTTTCTGCTAAAGGCATACCATAGAAGTAAAGAGGTAATGTATTCACCAAGAAGTTGAAACAAGCAACTAAGTCAATCGTGATACTAGCAAACAAAAATGATTATATCTCAAAAACGGTTGACCTTTCGACCTATGTTTACTAAAGCTTCTTTGCTCAGTATAGTGTATCCTATATACCATACAAATATTGGAATGGTTTTTTTTAAACACCGTGTAGAAGCCATAAAGCGTTCGATGGTGCTCTACGTAAAATAATTCAGAACAACGTAGTATCCCGGAATGAACATTAAATCTAAACAAGATCAGACCATTGACTACCCTGTTAACAAAGAGTAGGCTTCTTTTCCGCGATGTTCACGTGTGGTTAATTTCGTCAGAACGTAATCGTAATTGTGAGAATATCTAGGCACAGGACCACCGCTATGATTGCTCAGTACAGTGTATCCTATATACCATATAAATATTGAATGGTTTTTTTTAACACCCTCTAGACACCTTAAAGCGTTCGATGATGCTCCACGTAAAATAATTCAGAACGACGTAGTGTCCCGGAAGGAACATTAAATCTAAACGAGACCAGACCATTGACTACCCTGTTAACAAAGAGTAGGCTTCTTTTCCGCGATGTTCACGTGTGGTCAATTGCGTCAGAACGTAATCGTAATTGTGAGAATATTTAGGCACAGGACCATCGCTATGAATGCAATATCGTGTATTGGGTGTTGTTTCTGGTTGTAGAGCGTTATTGGATTCCGAAACGCGCCGTCGGGGATCAAGAGGAGGCTCGGCGGAGGGCTGATGGCGGTGAAGAACCGAGCGCCTCAAGTGGCCGGGAACTTCGCCGTTTGGGGTGGTCTTTTCTCCGCGATCGAGTGCACCTTGATACGATGTCGTTCGAAGGACGATCCGTGGAACTCGATACTGAGCGGGGCTCTGACCGGCGGCGTCCTGGCTGCCAGGACAGGGATCCCGTCGATGATAGGAAGCGCCACGGTCGGAGGTATCTTCCTGGCGCTCGTCGAGGGATTCGGTATCATGGCCACGCGACTTCACGCGGACACCTTCGCCCAGGACATGCATATGTTCGACGTGGAGAACCTACCGGAGTTCAACGGGCTCTCGCCGAGGACGAGGGTGGGTTACGGCGGGGCACCGATCGCGGAAGAGATCCCACCCAGACAGATAAACGGTACCAACGGCATGGACGTTGACAGAATCGCCAAAGGCAGATGAGACTCTCGTTTGTCGGTGAATTTTAGTGAATTTTGCGACCCTCTAAGCTCCGTGCCACGCATGGAACAGAGATTGTAATTGTACTTTTTTGTGAATTTATTTTGTGAAAGAAACTGTCTTTACAAATTCCTGTCGTTTTCTCGCATTCTGATAAAATTACATCGACACCCATTGGCAGTCATTGGGTAGTGAAAATTAAATCGGTAATACACGGAGATTTTATTCGCAAATAATACAAATCTTAGATTCGTAAATTCGATTATTTAGCTAAACCGATATTCTGACGAGCAAAAGCGTAGCTAGAAGCTAGTTTACGAGAGAATCTAACGTTTCTATTCGCGTATTTAAGAATAAAATTTACTCAAATCCGACTGACGGTAAGGAGTATAAAAAGACTCGAAAGTTTATAACATTATAAGGACGTTGTGGAGGAATTTACTTGTACCTTGATATTAATATCCTTTCAATTTTGAATAAACTGTTGTTTGGAAAGTAGTGGTTTATTTTGAGGTTCCCCAAAAAGCTTTTGCATAGTGCAAAACGAAAACACGGTTGACAAACTGTTAATTCAACAGCGATGCCTTTCGATTGCTAATTGATCGACATTCTCGGATGTTCAGAAAAGCCTCTGTTCGATTCGAATCGCGAGAAAGGACGTACGGTCGGAAAAGGCTGACCAGCGGACGATTGTCCAGCGTTCCATTATTCCCGCTGTCCCCGTATCGACGACGAGGAACACAGATCCCAAAGATAACGCGGCGGACTCTCGATGGCTCGAGAAATCGTTTATTTCGCAAGGTGGTAATGACTGTTTTGACAGCGGCTCGCGCTCGTACCATCGTGGACAATCCCGTAGGTACTACCTTCGGCTCCGACCGCCATTGTTGCCGACACCAGATTAGAATCAATATTTACACTCAAGCCCGTGTAAGCTGCGGATTACCGAAGGCTTAGCCGATCCCTCCCAACCCTTTCTCGATTGAGTCAGCACAGTCAGTGGCCTCTCGAAAAATCTGCCGAAAAGCTTTGGCCCACTCGAGCCCTCAAAAATACGTCGCCTACTCACGAAAAATCGTTTTTCAATATAAAAAAACCATACAGGGTGTTCGTCTCGAAACTAATCTTAGAAACACACCTCTCCTTCCTGACTGTTTACGCATTTATGGGAAATTTTAATTCTCAAGAAACTACAGAATGCACTTAATATATGCAAAAATATAAGAAATACATACGTAAGATACGAATTAGTATACAGGGTGTTCGGCTACACCTGGGAAAAATTTTAATGGGAGATTCTAGAGGCCAAAATAAGACGAAAATCAAGAATACCAATTTGTTGATTTGGGGTTCGTTAAAAAGTTATTAACGTTTAAAGTTCCGCCTGTTGATAGTGGTTCTCACTCGACATGAGAAACTCTACTTAGTGACGTATCGACAGACTTAGAGTCTTCTGAGTAAGCACCACTATCTCTCTCAAAGCGCCGTTCTACAGGCAGAACTTTAAACGTTAATAACTTTTTAACCAAGCCTCAGTCAACAAACTAATATTCTTGATTTTTTCCTTATTTTGGTCCCTAGAATCTCCCATTAAAATTTTTCAAACTTCCTTTATATCTAGGGAGAAGAGTCTTGAGTACTCGACCCCTGAATATAATCTGATCTAATCTGTTACTTGACCATTTCTCTTCCACGATCGCTACGACAGGGTAGAAAGTATGAATTTTGATTCTGGCCCTCGAACAGGGGGTTCCTTCGTCGATTCTTTGCGTGGCTGAGGGCCACGCGAAAGAGACACACACGGGGGGAACCCCCGGCCAATTCAGGGGTGCTCGACTGCTCTTGATAGGTATTTAGTTGGGGCGAGCATTGAACGACGACAATGAGAACTCAATCGTTATTGTACCTCATTGGCGCGAACCGAACGACGATTAAGGGCGCGTGGTACACGTGAAAAGCTTCCATGGGAGATCCGTCGATGGCGTGGATAATTCGGAATTGGATCACCGTGGCCGTTCTGGGAATCTGGGGATCGTTCTGTCGAGCGTGATACTGGAGAGTTTCGTTCACTCGTGCTCGAAGTTAAAAGTTTCTAAGCATCGTTGCGAAAAACTGTGGTAATTCTTGGAACTGTCGCTTCAAGAGGATACGTCCTTACGATCGAATATACTTTTGGAATCAAGATAATATCGTTTAAGTAACTATCCCTGACGATCCACAGCGTGGGAGGCTGCTCGTTTAGATACACTAACAATTAATACTGTAACGCAGAACAGAGATCAAGTGAAATAAATTAGATTGAATAATCAATTTTTTCTATCGCTTTAAATTGCACAAGGGAAAATGAATTCATTGACTCGAGGGTTCACTGCTCTGGTTTATCCAAGTGCGATTTTTTAATTATTTCGAGTAGTGCTAAATATAGCACTTCAACATGTCACGCTCCAGGGAGACAACTTCCGAGTATTGTGTCATTTGTACGTGTCATAAGGCTATGGTTTTGGTAAGTAGATCGTACAAACCATGCCCTCTAGCGTCTCCATGGAAGCATGACAAATCCCCCACGAGCAGTTACCGACAAAGTAGAATGAGACTGCTAACCAGACGAGGTACACGAGTAGATTCGCAACGTTACCAACACCCCATAAAACGCAATCATAGCACCACAGACGAAGTATATGAATAGACCTTTCACGTAATGTAATTTTTCGGCCGGAGTTTCTGGGGTCCCGGGACCCCATTACCATTTTCGTGTCACTCGCAACGTTATCAACAGATCCAGAAATTAACACAAGAGGAAGTGAGACAGAAAATAAAATTACATAAATTTTATTATTTTTGAACGGAATTAAAGCTGTTGGGTCCATCATTGGACATTAATCGATTAATTTCATTGGAATAACCAATCGATTGAGATTATTTAAAGATTTCAAACACTAATATACAATAAATTACAACCGACATGAAACAAAGAAATACGACAAGATATTTTCTTCTTGGTGTCTTCGTCACTCCCACGATGTTTTCCTGAAACAAAAACTCATATCCAATAAAATATATACTCATATAAAACAAATAAATATGAAAAAATATTTCTTCTTGGTGTCTTGATTAATCCCACGATGTTTCCCTGAAACATAAATCAGACAATAAATAAAATTGTACAAAGAAACTAACTACATCAAGCTACTTCAAACTACAACAGAGTGGCACATATGGGGATGAAGTTAGACGTTTTAAATATCGCAACACTACGGGGCAACAACGCGATAAATCAACAATCACAACGCTAATTTATAATAGAAAAAATTCCAAACGGGACTTGTAAGAATAAAAGCAACCCGCGAATGGTAATTATTCGCAACACTACCCTGAAAAGGAAACGCGAAAAACAGTGATTCGCAACTCTACAAGCAAACGCGATTATTGGATATTCGCAACTCTATGTATATCATAACCGCGAGTTATGGGGACGGATGGCTGGCATGTATGGTGCAATCATGTACCATCAGGTACATGCATACGTGAGCGAGTCAGAGAAATAAACTAACTACAACTATAGACGAGTTAAGTGACAAAGTAGTAACAGGAATGACTTTCCATTCTCATCCGAGGATGAAGATGAAAAGCCATTTGTTGCAGCCCACTCTTGAGACAGTTTGTCAGGGCCTTTTCTTTCTTCGGCGGTCCTGCCAATGCCTGAAACTTACTTAAGACCGGGCTCGAGATTTTGTGCAATACGTAGTCTTCCAACAATATACGAATTGTTGCAAGAGCATACGTGGTGAATCTCGAGCGGTACGAACGTTTCGAAAGGGACCTAATCCCGACCGCGAGCGCGAGAGAGCGACTTTAAGAGTCGCGCGATTCGAGGAGTCGAAAATAAAGCCGAAACAAACAGCACAAGTGCACCGTTTGAATCAGCAACATTTCTACTCTCGAAATCGTAACTACAGGAACAGAACTGCCACGCGAAAACGCGCCTACCCGATGTATAACTAATGTGGACAGTCCTGCCCTGACCCTACCTACTTAGGTTTAAACACACACACCAGAGAATAAGTTACCTACCTACCTAACCCTATATTTAAAAAAATGCAAAACTCAGTCTCTCAAACAAACACTCCACGGTTCTCATTCTCAATGTCCGGGCGCGACCTAAACTAGAGAGGACTCCCCGGGGTTCCTCCGACACCCGGACACAACCTCATTCATACTCTAATTGTGTACGTACCAGTTTTTGCAGTGGACTGACAAAGCTAGTGCCCATTGCGTACTTTTATTATTTATGTAAAACATTTTAATATATCTGATATAGTCTTTATTAAAATATACTCTATACATATATGATTATATAAGATTGAAAAGCTAATTCATTATGCATTTTACAATATTATCGACGTGTATGCAATACGAACAATTGCCAAGTAAATAATAACTATAAGTTTAATATTATTATTGTGATTGTTATGAATCTAATGTCAAAAAATACTGTATCTGAATTGTGATGAACTTTTGATACGATGCACTTCCACAACCTAACCACAAACACACATATGTGGACAGTACATCGTGCACGAGACACTAGCATTGTCAGTCGCACAGATAAATTATTATTATAAATGTTACAAACTAAGTCATCGTGCCCCGTTGCCTTCGCTCGTGCAAATAACACTTGGGCATGTGCATGAACTTAGGCAACGAACACGGGAAAGTATCCTGAAAATCCTGACTAAAACAACTGGTTATTAATAATTAACTAAACGGTATCTATTCTCAGTTAAAATGACTCGACTTGTTATATGTAATATATCAACAGCAGAGTACGTTAATATTGAAAGATATTATTATTCAAGAAAAATTTGTGATTGAAATTTAATTGTTCAAAATGTAAGACTTTAATAAAGATTTCATGATAAAATAATTTACTTTGCAAATTGAAATAAATTTGTTAAATTATTATTCAAAATATTCAAATAACCTTGGTCGATTCTGTCGTCAAA